AATAAAAATAAATCTTTAAAAAAATGAAGTAATTCCTTCAAATAAGTAGTAGACAAAAAGAGAAATATGCGTTAATATATAAATAAATAAATCTTTTACAATGAGAGGGAAATATGCTAATGATACATAAAAAGTGCTTTTGGGTGGAAGAATTAACAAAAAGGGGTTTTTTTGGTATTTTCTACATTTCAATAGTAAACTATGTTGCTTTCATTATCAGAAAGCAAAAATTATTTTTGTTGCACTTAGGTGATTTTAGTACATACTACAAATAAGGAAACAATAAACAGCATTCTCACAGCATTTTGTGGTAGCCAGGGCCATGGCACAGTAGGTCACATATCCAACCGCAGTGCCAGCATCCCATGGGGTGCTGATTTGAGTCCCAACTGCTCCACTTCTGATCCAGGTCCCTGGGAAAGCAGTGGAAGACAACCCAAGTTGTTGGGCCCCTGCACTTAAGTGGGACACCAGAAAAGAGATGCTAGCTCCCAGGTTCAGGTCAGCTTAGCTCTGGTAGTTGCAGCCTTTGGGGAGTGAATCAGCGAATGGGAGATCTTCCTCTCTGTCTCTCCTCTTCTCTGTTTATTTGACTTTGCCATAAAATAAATCTTTAAAATAAAATCTGCCTTTCAAAAGTAAATAAATCAATTCACAAATGTAAAGAAAAAGAAGCCCCCAGAATCACAATGCAGACAATAGAAGAGTAAGTTTAGAGACGTAATCCGAAATAAGGGCTAAATAATTAATACATCAACTTTCTCCACTGGTACCTGTCTTGTCATCTCCAAATTTACAAATTTTCAAAGTACACTCATAAGGGAATGTATACTATACATATGTGATGCCAATTTAAACAGTCACTGAATATCTGTTGGTGTAATAAAAATCTATTAATGAAAGTATTAGTCATACACACATTACAAAGACTAGCAAAATACAGGCATTGAGTTGGCATAATAATAAACTACAGTACTTTCTAATGTAGGCAGAAAATAATCTACTATTAAGTGACCTAAGTGACTGCATGAATGAAGCATGCTACTGCCCTTCTCTTTACCAAGGTACCACAAAGTGATTCTTGCTTGTTCCTCAAGCTCCATCTCGCACAGGAAGAGATCACTAACTGCACCTGGGAGGCTCCTAGGCTGTCTTCACACTTTACCCCTTAGTGGAATCACAGAGAGCAAAGAGCTGTGGCCCACCACTTTGGGCAGCTTGCAGAATCCAGCATCACAGTTCACAAACCACAAAGGACAAATCCCTTGGTTGGGTTTTCTCCTATGTGCCATAAACACCAAGGGAGTGCTGGGCATCTGATAATGTCCCTGAGGGGGAAAAAACTCAGCATTCATCAAATTACCTATCTTTGTTGCCAAAGAACCATGGGACTTCAGTAATTTTCTCCTCTTAAGCAGAAATAGATAAAGCATGACTTCAACATTAGCCAATGTCAGGGCCACTCCAATCGGCACTTGTTCTACAGCAGCATGTGAGCTGGTTAACACGGCTCCCTGCCTTGGCCAGAGACTGCCACTAACCCCACTTAGCTGTCTGCAAATGAGAGTTACAGATTACAGTCTACAATACTCCCCCTCAATTTAGGAAAAAAAAAAAAAAAAAAAGCAAGAAGCCCCAAATGCCTGTCTGCTTTCCACAAAACAAATGAATCACCACCCAATAAACTTAGAACTGATGAGGAAGGACGGTTGTCTTTGTTACCAAGCACTGAGTAAGCTCCCTAACACAGAACACAGATGATGTGTTCAACAACCATCGAATGAGCATGTACACTATGTGGCTTCTGTGCTCAGCACAGGATTGTCTTGACAATTTTTCAATACACTATCTCAGTTCTTATGGAAGATCAAAACACTTCATTAGTGTTTCCATTCCAGGCAGTCTGTTAAAGGAAGCCAACATTACTTGTAAACAGACTCAAACTATCAGGAGGGTAAATTAAAAATATACTTGCATATGTTTGATACAAATTTAAAACCATTCGTCAGACTCTTGTTCTAGCAAAATTCTGATGACTGGTCACATACTTTGAGCTTAAAATGAATCTTTATAATCTAGTACCTTCCAATTAAATAACACATGTGGGTCTTTAGCATTTGTTTTATACATATCTGTAGAAATATCTCAAATTATGTTTTCATGTTCCATCTCTTTGAACAGAAGTTACTAACTTGCTTCTCTACTTTTCTTTCTTGAAATAGTCCTAGTGAGATAGGCATTTAGCCTAGCAATTAAGATGCTGATTAAGATGCCCACGTCTCTACATCAGAGTCCTTGGGTCTGATTCCTGGCCCTGGCTCCTGACTCCAGTGTGTCATAATAACGCAGACCATGGGAAGTAGTGGCAATCGCTCAAGCATTTGGGCTCCTGCCACCCTTGTGGGAGACCTGGATTTGGTTACCAGCCATCGCATACATGTGGAAAGCAAACCAGATGGCAGCTCTCTCTGCATGTCTGTCTCTTCCTCCCTCTCTCTGCCTCACAAATAAATATGTACATAAAGAGCTATCCTTACTGGTAATAAGAAGAATGTTCTCACAAAACCTGGTTAGATTATCTTCCAGTAAAAGAATTACATCATGCGAAATATACTATCTCTAGCCAATCTAATGATGGATTTGCAGAAAAAATAATTTCAGTATATCTGTCAAATACATTATGGAAGATATTTGGGTCTATTTATAGAATAAAAGAAGTTACTGAGGCCAGTATGGTATGTCAGAGGAGGCTGCTGCCTGAAATACTGGCATCCCATACGGGCACCATTTGGCAACTGAGCTGCTCCATTTACCATCCAGTTCCTTGTAAACAGCCTGAGAAAAGCAGTGGGAGACGGCCCGTTTCAACCTTGGCTCTTGAGCCATCTGGGGAGTGAACCAGAGATGGAAAATATTTCTGCCTCTCCCATTCTGTCATCCTGATTTTTGAAAAATTAATACATCTTCATTTAAAAAAAAAAAAAAGGAAGTTATGCACAAAGGTCCCTGGAGTCGATGTTTTAAGTATCAAGACCAAATGAGAGCTGAGGGCCAACACTGTAGTATAGCAGGCAAAGCTGCCACCTGCAACACCAGCATCCCTTATAGGCACCAGTTCCATGTCCTGGCTGCTCCACTTCTGATCCAAGTCCCTGGGAAAGGCCTGGAAAAGCAGTAGAAGTTGACCTAAGTGCTTGAACCCCTGCACCCACGTGGGAGACATGGATGAAACGCCAAATTCCTGGCTTTGTCCTGGCCTAGAGCTAGTCATTGCAGCAATTCAGAGAATGAAGCAGTGGATGGAAGATATTTTTATTTTACCCACCTTTGTCACTGTGCAAATAAATAATTAACAGACATTTTAACAAGGTTTAAGAAAAATTAAAAGCTATGAAATTTATAAACCTGTCAGAACCCAGTCAGGTTTAGACTTTATGCCAACACCAATGGCCTAAGATTAAGGAACCAACTATTGAAGCAATGAATACAACATACTCTTGTATATAGTTTTTATGAACAACACAACTAGTAAGGAAATGGATAAAAGATCATGAACAAATGTCAAAGAAATTCCTTTAATCTGCAAGCCTGTACACACTTTAGGCACCACACACACCTTGCTCAGCTAATACCACATTTGATCTTAGCCAAAGCGTCAAGCAGTGATACCATGCTCACCTGAAATGCACGGCATGCTCTCTCGAGGCTGAGTAAATCCAACTCCATCTGGAACTTCCCTGATATTGAGGTTCAAAATTTGCTTGTCTACTAAATTCAAACTTTTTTTATACCTCCACCATGTAGCAATTACAAACTACACTTTAAAAAATCATTGATGGGGAACCGATGCTGTGGCAGAGTGCGCTAAGTTACCACCTGCAGCATCAGCAGCACATATGGGCACCCACTCAAGTCCAAGCTGCTCTGCTTCTGATCCAGCTCCTGCTTATGCCCTGGGAAAATAGTAGAAGATAGCTTGATTCCTTTAGCCCCTGCAGCCATGTGAGAAACTAGAAAGAAGCTCCTGGTCTCAGATTGGCCCAGCTCCAGCCACTGTAAATCATTTGGAGCACGAACCAGTAGATGACAGAAAATATTTTTTTAATGATTTATTTTATTTTTATTGGAAAGGCATGTATAAAGAGAATGAGATACACAGAGAAAGATCTTCCTTTTGCTCGTTGATTCACTCCCTAAATAACTACAACAGTCAGAGTTGAGCCAAACCAAAGTCAAGAGCCAGAAGCTTCTTCTGGGTCTCCCACAAGGTTGCAGGGTCCCAAGGCTTTGGGCTGTCCTTGAATGCTTTCGCAGGCCACAAGCAGGGAGCTGGATGGGAAGTGGAGCAGCCAGACACTAACCGGTACTCATATAGAATATCAGCACATGCAAGGCAAGGATTTAGCCATTATGCTATCATGCTGGGCCCTATCTCTCTTTCTTGCTTGTTCTCTCTCGTTTTCTCTATAACTGCACCTTTGAAATAAAAATAAAATAAATATTTTAAAAGATATACATATATATAAATTTTACAACCATCAGTAGATAAGAAAAGATTATAATTTCTACAATCACCAAAATTGTACACCAGAAACCAGATTTCTTCCACTGACATACACTATCAATGCACAGCCCTATCTACAGACTAGCCCAACATCTGAATAAATCCTAGGAATTTAGAGAAGGCTAACATTTCCCAAAACATTGTCTGGTACTCCGCACAATGTAACAGACTCAAGCAAACCACGAAAATCAAGACTAAAATAAACCTAAAGTGGTTACTTTACTGCACAATTTTTGCTGTAGAGTTTTTATATGCTAACACACATTAGCAAGCTCTAAGATATAATTTTGTTCTGAATCCACTAATAAACTACCTACGTCAAGATTCTGAAGAGAAAAGGGTATCAAAGAAAACCTTTTTGGGTTTTTTTTTTTCTTTTGATTTTTGATCTTCATATTTACTGAGTACATCAGCTTAGTTTCTAACAGACTCTTACCTGATATGTGTTGCAGGTAAAGACTCATACTGGCGTGACAAAAAGAGCTCCCTATGCTTCAACTGATGTTTCTGTTTATCAGTCAAGTCAGCCTCAACTGTTGTTTCAGATTCTTCCTCAATTTCCTCTGCACAAATAGAATTCAAATATATCATTATTATAAAGCACATGACCTATCCAGATACTAGGACAAATCAACATTTCATTCAATATTTTCTTCAAACAAAATTTATTTTAAATTTCCATATTTAACTTCTCATTTCATTTAGAACCATAAAATTTTCAGGGTTCAGCAGAAAAATGGCAGGTGGAAGCCAGTGTCATGCACAGCAGATTCAACCACTGCTGTCAACAGCAGAATCCCCATACCTGAGAGCTGGTTTGAGTCCTGGCTGCTCCACGTCTAACCCAGCACCCTTTAACTACATCTGCTGTGATATATGAGTGGTCCAGACATTTGGATATCTGCCACTCACATATCAGACCAGATGCAGTTACAAGCTTCTGGCTTCAACCTTGTCCGGATCAGGCTGAGGAGGCCACTAGGGGAATAAACTTGCAAAAAGAAGATTCTTGCCATTCGCCATTCCCCATCCCATACCCTTCACCTCTCTCAAAAAAAAAAAAAAAAAAAACTTCTGAGTAAGACTAATCTCTAGGGCCCAGCACGATAGTGTAGTAGTTAAAGTCCTCACCTTGCACGCTAGGATCCCATGTGGGTGCCTGTTCTTATCCGGGCAGCTCTACTTCCCATCCAACTTCCTGCTTGTAGCCTGGGAAAGCAGTCGGGGACTGCTCAAAGCTTTGGGACTCTGCACCCACGTGGGAGACCCGGAAGAGCTCCTGGCTCCTGGCTTTAGATTGGCTCAGCTCCAGCTGTTGCAGCCACTTGGGGAGTGAACCGTCGGATGGAAGATCTTCCTCTCTGTCTCTCCTCCTCTTTGCATATCTGCCTTTCCAATAAAAATAACTAAATCTAGAAAAAAAAGACTAATCTCTGGAATTGTCTTAGCACACTTAATTTTTTAATATGATAACATGAAAATACTGTAAAAGTTAAAGAAACTTGAATCCTAACAGAATCTATATTTTAATGGCAAAACTATAAGTTAGACTGGTGGAACAATGCTCTCCAAGAAAAAAAGTGATTTTCAATCTAGAATCAATCTGTTTGTCAAGTGTGACACCAGAACAATGACTTTCTTTCACTCACTCAACTGTTATGTGTTAGATGCCGAATCAGGCACTACTCAAGAGACAAGTGAAACAGCCACTAAGAACAAAAATTCAAAGTGTGGCTTTGGGAATCAAAGCTGTTAGGAAGATTTTCTGTAACACTGCATTTAATAATCTTCCTAAAGAAACATAATGTTGATTAATTTCAAATATACAACTTCAAAAATAATATTTATGGAGGACAACACTGTGTGTATATAACAGGTTCACATCCCATACAGGCACTAAGTCCCAGCTGTTCCACTTCCCGTCCAGCTCCCTACTAATGCACCTAGGAAAGCAGCAGCAGATGGCCCTAGCGCTTATGTCCCTGCTCCCACATGGGGGACCGGGAAGGGAATCCTAGCTCCTGCTAGCCTGGATCAGCATGTACATTGCAAACATCTGGGGAGAAAACAGTGCATCAAACACCTCTCTCGGGGCCCGGTGGCGTGGCCTAGCGGCTAAAGTCCTCGCCTTGAACACACCGGAATCCAAAGCAGTCGAGGATGGCCCAAGGCTTTGGGACCCTGCACCCGCGTGGGAGACCCGGAAGAGGCTCCTGGATCCCAGCTTCAGATCGGCATAGCACCGGCTGTTGCGCTCACTTGGGGAGTGAATCATGGGACGGAAGATGTTCCTCTCTGTCTCTCCTCCTCTCTGTATATCTGACTTTGTAATAAAATAAATAAATCTTTTAAAAAATACAATAAAAAAAAAACACATCTCTCGGTCTCTCCCTCTTTGAACATGTAACTTTACCTTTAAAATAAATAAAGATTTTTACACATTTATTTATTTCACTTAAAGAAGTTAAAGAGAGAGGGAGAGACAGAGAGATCTTCTACCCCCGATTCATTCCCCAAATGGTCACAACAACCAGAGATAGGCTAATATGAAGCCAGGAGTTAGGAGCTTAGTCTGAGTCTGTGGGTGCAAGAGCTCAAGACTTTGGGCCATCATCTGCTGTTTCCGAGGCCATTAGCAGGGAACTAAACTGGAAATGGAGCAGCCAGGAATTGAACCAGAGCTCACATGGGATGATGGTACAGCAGATGGATGATTACCATGCTAGGCCACCACTCCAGTCTAAAGTCTTAAAATAATAATAATAGATAATAATAATAACACCACTGGTGACTACTAGATCCTTTGCAGCCTCCCCTGGAACAGACTGCACAGATTCAAGAACTTTTAGGATGCAGGAGGGGTTCAGCTGGTTCCTCACATGTGAATATACCTTGGAAATTCTGATTTTCAGATACCAAAGGTAGCACACCCATAGCAACTTATTCGCAATCTTTTTTAAGATTTTATTTATTTTTATTGGAAAAGAAGATCAGATTCCCAGAGATAAGGAGAGACAGGGAGAATGATTTTCTGTCCACTGGTCCACTCCCCAAGTGGCTACAACGGCCAGAGCTAAGCCAATCTGAAGCCAGGAACAAGTTTCTGGCAGATCTCCCACACACGTGCAGAGTCCTAAGGCTTTGGGCCATCCTCTACTGCCTTTCCAGGCCAGAAACAGAGAGCTATATGGAAACTAAAGCAGCTAGGACATGAACCCATTTGGAATCCCAGCACTTGCAAGGTGAGGCTTTAGCCATTGAGCCATCATGTCAGACCACACAATTTTTATAAATTCTTATTTCATGACTCAAGACTATAAAAGGGATTTTACCTAATAGCAACATAATCCACCTGTAACAATTTTAATTCTCTGAACACAGCAAATGGAATAAATGTCAAATCATTTCTACGTTCAACCTCTCAAAACTCTGAATTGAAAACACATAGCTAAAATTAATGCAGCAAATCTGAAGTTCTTAGAACCTTCTTTTTCATGAACTCTCAAACAAAAACACTTTCTAGTCATTTACTTTCCAGTTTAACAAAACTTCACCAAAGGAGATCAATGAACTTACTGCTAGATGAGTATCCCATACAAAATAATACTCTCAGGGCCAGCACAATGACTCGGTGGCTAAATCCTTGGATTCCAAGTGCCAGGATCCCATATGGGCACCAGTTTGTGTCCCAGCTGTTTTATGTCCCATCCAGCTCCCTGCTTGTGGCCTGGGAAAGAAAGCCCAAAGCATGGGACCCTGCAAACACATGGGAGACCCAGAAGAAGCTCCAGGCTCCTGGTTCAAAATTGGTTCAACTCTGGCCATTGTGGCCACTGGGAAGAGAATCAGATCTTCCACTTGGAAGATCTTTTTCTTTGTCTCTACATCTCTCCTTCTCTCTGTAAATCTGTCTTTCCAATAAAAATAAATAAATCTTAAGAAATACATACATATTTATGTAAATATAATGGTATTAACAACCTTATCTATTTATACAAGCCCTTGATACAAGCTAAAAAGAACTAAAATCTCCAAAATTAAACCAAATCAAAACAACAATCCAAAAAACCACTTAAGTACCTTTCATTACAAAGTTCGTTAATTAAACTAATTTTTATAACTTCCTAGTTTAAATTTCATTTACACATCTCCAAATTTATACTGATTTCCAATCAAGAATGAATGGACAATTCTCATTTCATAATGACATCCTGAAAACACAGAATAAGGGGAAAAAAAATGAAACTTGTAAATTACCAAATACTATTGTCACCATCAAATCGCATGTACAGGAATTGGGATTTAGCCAAATAGTTCAAATATGGGTTAAGACTGCCCCATCCCTCACCGGAGGGCCTGGATCCAATAAAAGCCTCCACCTATTAACTCCAGCTTCCTGGAGTTCCTGGAAGCAACAATGACAGATGAAGTCCCTGGGATCCTGCTATCCACATGGGAGACCCAGATTGAGTTTCCACTGGTTCTGAACTGTCCCTAGCCTAGTCTGGTTATGGTGGGGATGTGGGAAGTCAATCAACAGGTGATGTCATAGGTTCCCTCTCACACATTCTTCCAAACACAAAAATTAGTTAAACTGATTAGTCTAATTTGATTGACTGGAATGGGCCTGGCACTGTGGCATAGTAAGCTAAGCTTCCACCTCTGGCACTAGCATTCAATATGGGCAGCAGATCAAGTCCCAGCTGTTCCACTTCCAACCCAGCTCTCTGCTTATGATCTGGGAAAGCAGCAGAGGATATTCCAAAGCCTTGAGACCCTGAGCCCACATGAAAGACCTGGAAAAAGCTCCTGGCTCCTGGCTTTGTATCGGCTCAGCTCTGGCCATAGCAGCCATTTGGGAAGTGAACCAGTGGTTAGACCTCTCTGTCTCTCCTTCTCTCTGTAATTCTGCCTTTCAAAAACAAAATAAATCTTAACAAAAAAAAAAAAAAAAAAGAACTTAATTTTAAAAAAAAAGTGAACTTGTGGCCAGCATTCTGGCTCAGCTCCAGCATCCCACATCACAGTGCCAATTCAAGTCCCAGTCAGTGTACTTCCAGTCCACCTTCCTACTAAGGCACCGGGAAAAGCAGAGGATGATGGTGCAAGTGCTTGTACCCTGCCACACACAGAGAAGACTAAGACCAAGTTTCTGGCACCGGGCCTCAGCCGGCCCAACCTGGTTAGCTGAAGACACTTGAACAATGAGCCAGTAGATGGAAGGTCTCCCTCTCCCACATCCTCTCTCTCTGTTGTTCAAAAAAGTATATACATACATATTTATTAATTTTTTTTATTTTTTAAAAATTGCATTTATTATTATCATTTTATGATACAGTTCCATATTTATTATATCTTTTTTCTTTTTTTTTCTTTTTTTTTTAATTTTTTTTAAATTACATTGCATCATGAGACACAGTTTTACAGGCACTGGGATTCCCCCCTCCCCTCCCCAAAACCCGCTCCCCCCCTCCCCCATGGTGGATTCTTCCATCTTGTTGCATTACCACAGATCAAATTCAGTTGAGATTTTTTTCCTTGCAAACAGCTACAAAACATAGAG